AGCAATACTTAAATGCAGTGATCAATTTTGAGTTCTTCTGTAGTTTATTGTTGCCTATCGCATCTACTCCTTCCTACCTATTGTGATGAAGGCTCAATCAAGAGCCCTCCACAGAAGCTTGCTTAAATGTTTACTGATATCAGTTGGCATTTAAGCTAGCTTTTAAGCTAATATATACACACACACTATATATATACATATATATATAAAAAACAGGCACTATGCTAGGTAAAGTAATAAATTATCAATATAACTTACCATTTGTTCTGCTGTAAAATCACCTTCTACAAGCTTTTCATAGCTTATGCTAATCGGTACAATATAAGCATCTTGTATTTTACCTATGAACAAAAACACATAGAATTACAAATAAAGAAAAATAAATAAGAACAAAAAAATTTACATTATGTATCAGTTTGAAATGGAAGTTCTGAAAATTGTCTTGGAACAGTTGATACAGTCATCATGTTACAAAAATCTTCTGGCCTCAAATGGTTTAAAATATTATTAAAGAGATTTCTTTTTTTGTTATAACAAATCACAAACTGAAAAAGACTGGAGCTGCTGATAAAAGTTAAAACAGCTTTTTAATATCAATACATGAAAAATTAAAGCATGTGTCAGGGTTTTCCTCAAAGAAAAAAAAGTGGCTCCCATTTAATTTTATCTTCCATCTTGTCCATGTATATTTATACGTTACAATTAGATTCTCAACAAGAAATTGATATTTAGCATTTTAGTCATTCATTTATATTTTCAGAAATTAATCAATCTTACTTGTCTCCTTAAAAGATGATAATTGAACTTTAGAATCTGCCAAAACTCATTTTAATAACTTTTGTTTTTGTAAGCATTTCACCCTAAGTAAGGCAGGAGTGTCACTAGTACACAAGGGGCTACAGAGAGTGTAAGTAAGGGAAAAAAATACGGGTTTGGTTTGAAGAAAGGACAAAAAGAACAGAGGAGAATAAAAAGAAGAATGGGGATCAAGGCAGCAGATGTAGATTGACATTACATTTAAAATTTTTGAAGATTATAGTTATCAGGGAAGCAAGTAAGAGGAAGGGAGTTCCACTGTCGGGAAGAAGAAGCTGTTGGAGTAGAAGAAACAGTTACATTTAACTGTTTCGACGGTAAAAACATGGGACTGAGATACCAACCTAATAGCTTAAATTCATGCAGTTGCGGTACCAGTGAAAATATCTCGTCAGAGCAGATGCCATGAAAATATTTATAGAAAAGACAGAGGGAAGTCACATTACATTGGTAAGAAAGTGACTAAACTCATTTTTTTTTAAGATTTTGTTGGATTTAACCAACAGGACAATAAATGTCTTGGATGAAATTGCTAGCAAATATTAGAAATAACTGGAACACCCATTCTCCAGTAGGTGTTCTTTGAAGATCTGAAAATGTAGTAAGGAAGAACAGTGTTTAGCGTGCGACGGAAATAGTCAAAAAGCATTTGGCAGCAACCGGAGATGAAACAAGGGTCTGTTTAGATTTAGCAAATGATAACAAAAAGGACAGTTGTGAGTTGGCTTGTAGGCCCCCTGAAGTGGGAGACTTGTGTACAGTAAGATTTAAATTTGATAGAGGATTGTGTTTGGCAGCCATTGGCAACTCTCAGTGTGTTGAAGAGCATGCTGTAATTATTCATTTTCCACACAAATATATATATATTTCTCATTGCTGTAAACATTATATTTAGTGGATACAGAGGTTTGAGTAGACATCAGATTAAAATAAAAAATAAAAAGAAGAATACAGGTCTACTGGTGGCCTGGGTTTTCTGAGAGAAAATGTGCCCTCTGGCACCCCTCCTTGAATAGGGGGGAAAAATGCCATATAGCCCAATGTTGCTTTTTAGGCCACTCAGCCAGAAAAAGGATCTTCATGTGAAACAAGGTTTAATTATTCTTATGAAGAAAAGCACATCTCTTGTTAAGAGCTTTTAAAGGCTAAAACTGCTAATTTTATTTTTGTATCCAAATTGGCCTTTAAGTCCTCAACACATTCTTAATGAATTTATAGAGAACAGTTTTCAATGTGTGCATTAATTGATCCATTTGTTGAAATTGTCTGAATTCACAAAAATAGATTCTTTGGAGTGTTTGCTACAAATTTCATACTTTTCTTATAAACCATAACTATAGAGTTTAGATACATTAGGTGCTCCATAAACAGGATCTTGAGCCAGTTTTCAAAATGTTCAATTTGATATTATTTTCTTATTCTTCTTTTCAACTCTTACCTTGTAAGTAGGCATCTACTACTACAGAGAGAAGACCACCTTTAGGATAGAGAGCCTTGCCACTCCGACTGCGACCACCTTCCACAAAGAACTCCAGAGATTGACCTTCCAGAAGGAGTTCTTGCATATACTGAAAAAACAATAGAGTTGTTTATTTAACTTACCTTTAACAATTATTTTAAGAAAAAGAAACAAATTTAGTAAGGGTGATGGTTGTGGCGGGGTGCTCCAAAAGTAATGCCTTTTATTTATTTTTATGAAAGCTACAATTGATGCAAGCAAGAACGATAGCACCGTTGGATAGAGCAAATTTTCAGCTAAAATACACCATTTTTGTACGTACTAACCACCAATGGCTATTTAGTGATGAACAAGATCCATCTGTTTAGGGCAGTTTGGAACATGATTTTATAACACACATCCCTGTTGCCACATCTGAAATGCAATATAAACCTAAATGTGCTTACATCCATTGTTTGGTTTCCATAAATGTTCAGCATGTGTTAAATGTCAATTTGCATGAAGGAAATTATTGACGAACCTTTGCTTTGTATGTATGACTTTTCATGTCAGACATTTGTTTACTATGCCAAGCTTCGTGTTCAACGCAAAAAAAAAAAAAAACAAATGTTGGCACAAGCCTTGTAGTTAATATTTGGAAGATAAATGTACCATAAAGGATTCATTTAGGAATGTTCAGTTTAACACTGTATTTAATTTTTTTTCTTCATTATTTTAAACTGTTCATCATTTAATTTTTTATGTACAACTGTAGGAAAATTTATGACAAAGTGGAAAAAAATTTTCATGTGACACATTTCATCCCTTAGGACTTCATCGGACTAAAGTAGTGTTTATAATGACATAATCAAGATGATGATATTCCACACTACTTCAGACAAAAGGTTAGGAAGGAAACTGCCAGTACGGGAAAGAGTGATAACATTTAATGGACTTGAAAAACCCACTTTCCTGAAAAATTGTTTTAAGAAAGATTTTATAAATTTCAAATGAAAGCAGTACTAGTTGCTTGGTCAATGAATGCCAAATGTTTCCTTGTAGGGAAACAACTAATATGACTATTACATTGATGTGATTACACATGCACATGAAGGGAAGGTGATGTGGAAATTTTAAATTTTAAAAAAAGTATTTTTTTTTTTTAAAATCGTTTTCCCATAACATGTAATTACTGTGATTCATTAATGACTACCTTGGAATGCACAGTGTATCTTTTATGTCTCTCTAGGTATTCATTCATGTGTAGCATGTTTTAGGCAAAGTAAAGTAAACCTAGCAGTGCATATCCATTTCCAGCTAATGCCATCTTTACACAATTATGTAGGATTAAAAAAAAAAAAAAAGAAATATAAAGGATAACATTTTATAAATCATGATTTTTCTTTTTCTACAATTTCTATTTTTTGTAGCTCTGAGCAATGTTGTTCCCTCTTACTCCTCACCACACAAGGCTCTGTTCTGCCATTCATTTACACAAACTCATTAGGTAGGTTACTTGCTGTTTCCATCTACGCCACATGACTTCAGTATGTCATGTGAGTGTCAAATTCTCCAAGCATTCTTTCTTCATTGTGTCCTAAAACTTTCAACTGTTTCTTTCGGATTCAAAATACAAGGTGCAATGGATAAATTGTCCTCTTAATTACGCAAAAATGAAAATAACACTAACATCTTATGTTAACAAATATAATTACCAAAATAACACAAAAATATCTTGAAATACTAAAGAGTAAATTTATTCAATAAAATTGCCATCGACTTCAACCATGGCCTCCAGAGGACTTTGGAATCTCCTGCAACTCTTCTGGATAGTCTCCTTATTTAAGTTGGTGAATGTTGCCATAATTTCTTGCCTTCAGTTCATCTTTGGTGCTACAAATTTTGTTGGTCTCTTGCTCAACTGTGCCCATCACATAATAATCAAGGGGGTTGCAGTCTGGGGAGTTAGGTGGTCAGATATAAAGAGTGATGTGGTTGCAGAAATTGTCATCTATGACCGAGTTCTCCTGCTTGTGTGGCATGGTGCAGAGATCTGCTGCATCCACCCTCTCGACCCAGGGTATCACTATCTCCTCAAGGCACTTGATGTAGGTTTCAGTGTTGTGTTTGAGGCCATTACCAATAAATTTGGTAGCTCTTATCAGAATGATCAGATAGAGTTTTCTGAGCTGCCATACATTCATAATCACCATTAGACTCATCCAACTCTTTCTGAATCCTCTGCACTGTCTTCAGATTGACACCCAAACACTCTGAAATGTTTGTATTGGAGCTTCTGGTATAGTGATTTTCCAAGCATAGCTTAGATGTGGCACAAGGCTGAAAGTAGGGGGCACCCAGTGAGGATCGAACTCACTACTCAGTCGTAATTGTTCTAGGAAGACAAGCTTGCTAACCATTACACTGCCTTGGAGCTTCCAGTATAAATGCCAAGCAGTACAGTATGTGGTTTCTAAATTTTTGATGGAGTGATCTTTTCTTACAGTGCCCAACTAACCCTACTATACTGTTCAGTTGACAAAATTAAAAACATATGCATGCACAAAATTAAAAATATCAAATGGTGACAAGTTAATCATTGCACTTTATATAAGCATTTCCAAAAGATACAAGAGAGATTTTTACAACTTCAGCACTAATTATTATTATTATTCTTTTTTACTTAAAATGTAAATGGGTGGAAAAAGTCACTAACTTCATACAATTTAAATATATAGAATATGTGCAAGGTACGTACACATACATAACAGATTAAATATTTTGTATCAAAGTAAATCAAAAGTGGGTAGATTTTTATATATATTTTACAAACACACACACATATATTATATATATATATATATATATATATATATATATATATATATACACACACAAATCACTTTCTGGAATAATAGACCAAAGTAGCAGATGCAGCAATTAACATTATTCAAAATACTATTATGAAAAATGAAATTCTGTAGAACAAAACTTATTGTAAACAGCTTAAAATTGTGTCAAACGACATAAAATCCATACAAAAATACATAAAATCAAAATTTCCATTTATCGAAAAAAATTTTTTGTTTCAGAATATATAAAGAATATTTGCATATAATGGAGGATAAATAATAAGCCAAGTTACCGATTGCAACACAGCCCGATAAACCAAATCTTTCCTGCCATTTTGGTCCAATTTTCTTCGAATGAAAAATCCTCCAAGGGCTCTTAAAACAGAGCTGAAAGCAAAGGAAAATTTTTTGTTTAAATATTTGTGAAAAAAAAAAAAAAAAAAAAATCATTATATTCAAACAGATGAAAAGCTAAGGGAAAAATTATGATACTATAAATATCCAAACCTCTTAGTAAACTGTCTATTCTGGAGTTGATTCATTTTTTGAATGATTTATCAACCCTTTATAGGTAATTTAAAGACAAAACATATTTTGTATTTTATTGGGAGCCTTGAAGTAATAAAAATATGATATACGTTATTCCACTTTCACAATTGAATACATGGTAGATAATACTCAGCTTTTGTGCAGATATATGTTTGTGTGGACATAATTACTAGAGGCAGTGATATCTGTATTTTATGTTGTAGTTTTGTTGAAGTTTATATTTTGGAATATAGTTTGATTTCTTTAAGAAATTATAGGATATATGGATTAATGCCATGAAAGAGTTTTTCATGTTGGTTGGTTGATTTTGTTTAGCCGCATATCAACCTCTATGGGTTATTTAACACCGAAATCTAAATATTTGAACACAATTGTATGCCTTTAACTACAGATAAAATGTATTGTTGGTCATTTTTTCTTTTTTTATATAAAAATGTATTGCTGGTATTTTTACAGTAGAGGTTAATGGCCAGTTGGAAAACATCAGTTGTGGTTTGATGGATGGGCTCCGCCAGGTCTAGCTGCGCAAGACACATTACTCATACAAGACCTCTCCAGATTTCAATCCAGATATGTGGAGGGATCTGACTGATGAAGTGCTCAGCTGCACACTGATCCTATGACTATACCTGAATTGATGATGCTGAGTAAGGTTACAAAGCATTTAAAAGCTAAAATAAAAACATGATATTTCATCAAATATTGACTACTTATTGGCAAGTTTCTAATATTTTTGTCATACAATAGAAACCAAATTCAAACTGATTGCTACTTTTTCCAAGTCCTTTTTCAATGTTTCAGCTTCATTGTCATTTAATTAAAGCAAGTCTACAATGTTATAAACAATTGATTTTCAACCAGTGTGCTGTGAGCGGATCATAGGTGTGTTGTGAAAATTTTTAAAATGTCATTAAATTAAATTATTTTTGAAAGAAGTCCAAAGCACAATAAGTGTAGATATCAAAATTAAAAACCCCTTTAAATTGGTTATATGAGTATTAATAGGAGTAGATAGATTTGCCTATCGTCTGGTTCACACTCCTCCCCAGCCTTTTGAACAAGAGTAAAGATTTATCCATATTTAGAATTGGGTTTCTAATTTCTTCTAGTCTTTTTTTTTTTTATTGTCTGTTATACCTGACATACCTATTCTATTATTAATAGACTCTCCCACACATAATAAGTAGTAGTAGTAGTAGCGGTCGACAGTTGAGCTCAGTGGTGTTGAGCGAGTCAGTCGATGTCGGACATTAAAGTATCAACCATCACAACTAGATTGCTGCGTCATTAACTCTTATTTCAAGTTCCTAACGTTTTGTACGTCGAACCTAATTTAGGACGACAGTGAATTACAAGCCTCCACTGTGAAAACTACTCTACAACACTCATTCCCAGTAGTCTCTTGCAACTCAGTGGCATTATTGCCTTTCTTTGAATGAATTGATAAAATAAAAACCATTGTTATAAATAAACGTATAATATATAAAGTGGGTGGGGTGTGCAAAATGATGGCACAATTTAACAAGAACTTGCCAATGAACACTGATATATAAAATATTAAAAACAAAATTGATCACAGCTAGTATCCGTGGAAGAAAATTTAATAGTATACCTGTCCAAAATTTGACCTTGCAAAGAAGATATTCTAAAAAAAAAGAAATGTCAAGCACAAATATCTCATTGAGCGTTAAATTATTAAATTATAATAAAATAGAAAAATAAATAAGATTTTTTTAAGCTTTTTTAATTATCTTTTTATTCGAAATTATTATGAATGGTTTTGTCTGTGTTAATAAATTAATCATAAAAACTATAGCCTTTTTTTTGATCATCATAATTTAAGTGTGCTGCAGAAGTTTAACTATAGGTTCAAGTGTGCCCTAGGATAAAAAAAAATGGTTGAAAAACATTGTTATAGAAAAAAAGCTGAGAAATGTTGACGGAAAGCACTTACCCAAGTAATGGTATGTTGAGGTTGTTTCCAGCAGCAACATGAGGCACTCTCATATTGTGTATCCACATGATCCATGTAATAATGACATAATCCAAATGACTTTTGTGCAAAGGAAGATAGATTATTGGTATGCCTTTCTGGAAAACAATGCAGACATTTAACAAATCATAATAAAGCAAGTCAATAAGTCTCTAGTCTAATGAGGAAAAAAATAAAATAAAAAAGCCAGAATTCCTCTCGCACATTTATAAATCTCATTTATTTGTGCATTGAATGTTGCTACTACATCTTGTCTAGTATTTCCACCATATATATCTTGTGATTCTTGACAATATCCAAAGAAGAGTCTGTAATATAATCTGTCCTGACATCTTGACTTTGGTCACTTTCCAAACACCATGTCATCGCTTTCTGTCTTTTCTAGAAATATTTTTGTGGCAATTGTTCTAAGCTTTCCTCCTTAGTACCTCAACTGCATGAATTTAAGTATATTAATAAATTGGCAACTAGGTCTCATTGTTTTACTATTGAAATGGTTAGATGCCACTATAAGTTCTATTCTAGTAGTTTCTTTTCTTGCACTATTCACCTGTGAAACTCCATTCTGATTTCTTGTTTCCCTGACAGCTACAATCTTCAAAAATTTAAATACACTGTCAATCTTCTGTTTTCTTGAATTCCATTTTTTTTTTTATTGTCCTTTCTCCTCAATAATGTCTTCTCCTTTACTTTTACTCTCAGTAACTCCTTTGATCTTAATGGCATTGTTGCCTTGCCTGGAGTTAAATGATTAGAGGGGAAAAAAAAATACTCCTCTTGTAGTAAGCACCAAATTTTACTAATTAAAACAAGTTTTAAAGAACTTTTTTTTCAACAAAAAAAATGGTATGAAAATTTTATTTTGCTCATAATACCTACATTATTTACATGATGCAAAGACTAAGTTATTATATCCTTTTTATAAGCGAGAGAGAATGAATTATACAGGATGTCCCAAAAAACTTGACATCATTTTAAAAGCAATTATCTTGAAAACTACTAAGTCTAGCTCAATGAAATTTAACAGTTTAGGTGTTGAACATCATAAGTTTATTATGGGACCGATTTCATAAGTGTTCAATATGTGCACCGCCTGTGACACGGTACACTGTAGCATGTCTCCGGTAACATTATCCAATGCGGAAGTGATTCTCTGCTCGAGTTCATCAATGCTAGCAGGAAGTGGAGGACAGACCAGTCCCTTCACATATTCCCACAAAAAGAAATGATGTGGGAAGAGGTCTGGTAACCATAGCAGCCATTTCATCAGAAAATTGTCTTCATCTCCACCACACCCAATCCATCTCTCTGGCAGATTCTCATTGAGATAAGCATGTACTGTCCTTTTATTAAATATAAAATCTTGATCTGTTTCTATACATTCTGTAAAAATTTGAGGTTATTTCAACAAAAATTGTCAAAATAAATATTTTGGGACACCTTGTATATCATGTAGTTGCACTGTTTGAAAAGAAACTAAAAAGGATGCTGACAATTATTAATTTGGGCAATCTGATAAAGATTTGATTTAAAATTAATTGGATTAGCAATAAATAAATGACAAATTTCTAACAAAGTTTAGGAAATATGAACTATGAATGAAAATCAAGTTTGGATTTTTGCCACTGAATCATTGTTCATTCCTCTCTTTTTAACTAAACCATTTTTGATATTTTGCTGTTATCTGTTTGAATTTAGTTAAATTTTATGACAAAAATGTGATAAGTTGTAATTCATTTGTATATCAAGCAAAACCAAAATGGGGGAAAATCACAAGTCAATGATGCTGTCGATAAAAAGTCTTGTTTCACTTGATTAATTGTGCTGAAAGTTGATGGAAAAAAGAAAGAAAGAAAAAAGAAATATATAAACCAATTTCAAAGCTGATAAAAACTAACCTTTTCCAAGGATTCAATAAGTTGTAATTGTGACCGATGTACTTGGACACTTCGCAAGATTAGACCAAGGAACTTGAATAATGACCAACCAACAAATCTGTAAAATAAATTATATATTGACAGGTTGTCACAGGTAAATTTACAAATGAAACAGCTAATTTACACTATTTACATCATTGTCTTAAACTTTATTGCCAAATTCATGATTTTTCAGCAGTTGCATACTCCAACCTTCTTCAGGAGATATATGTTAGAATTTTGAACTGGACCCTTCTACATGTATGGACTAAATAAAGGGTTCAGTTCAAAATTCCAATCTATAGAAGGTTGGAGCATACAACAGCCAAAACACTGTGAATATGGCAATAAAGATGACAACAGTTTGAACTATATATGTCTTGCTAAGTTACACAGAGCACTATATATTATTGTTTAGGTAGGTGTCTGTCCTTTGGTAGTTTCTTCTTATTTGATGTTTCCTTTTGTTTTTTTTTCTAGGTTTTGTTTTATTGTTTTTTTTTTTTTTTTGGCCACCTGGCAGGCTTTGTGATGGTTTTACCATTTTTTTTTTGTTGTGTGTGTGTAAGCATATATATATATATATATATATATATATATATATATATATATATATATATATATATATATATATATAAATAAATAAAAAAAAAATTAAGATTTAATATTTTTCAGTTTAGCTGAACTTGTCAAAAAAAATTAAAAAGAAGGCTCAATTAATAATTAGCTATAATATTCAATTAATACAAAACACACGAGTTAGTCAATCAGATAAGTCACTTTTACTTTTGTTGATTTATTGAATCTAAAATGGCTGCCACTTTGTTGGCAAGCATGACCATGACAAGATATCATTGCAAGACTTATATCTAGCAATGTCTGGGCATTAAATTTTTAAAGTGAGGGAAGACGCCCAATAATGATCACTAAGCAAGAACAATATATACCTAAAAAGAAGAATAAGTCCCTATTAGTAGATCTTGACAACCTGCAAGTGTTACATCAGAGTTTTCCTTCTCCTAGTTGGATACCTTAATGAAGTCTAAAGGGTTCAACATTCCTAGTGAGCTTACTGTGAACTTGTATACCAACCCAGGTATTTATACATTTCTACACACACACACATATATATATATGTGCAATCATGCAGCAGGTACTACTGGGTTACATGATATCAATAGGACTGTTTTGTCTGTTTACTGGCACATCAATTCCTTATGGATCATTTAATGTTGAAATTTAATTTTCTTGAGAGGTTTGAAGTAATAAAAATATGATACATGTTATTCTGCTTTCACAATTGAATACATGGTAGATGATACTCTGCTTTTGTGCATATACATGTTTGTGTGGACATAATTACTAAAGGCAATTACGAGATATGTGTTTTATGTTGTATTTTTGTTGAAGTTGTGTTTTGGGATACAGTTTGATTTAAGAAATTGTAGGATATTATAGGGATTAATGTCATAAAAGAGTTCTTTCATGTTGGTTGTTTGATTTTGTTTTAATGGCATATCAACCTCTATGAATTATTCAATGCCAAAATCTAAATATTTTGTATATAATTTCATGCTTTCAACTACATAATTTTATACTTGCAGAGTAAAAGATACGTTTTTTAGATAGATATTTTGTAGATTACAAAATTTCTTGTTGGTAATTTTAGTATAAAAATGTATTTTTTTAGTGTTGCATTGTCATTTTGCTATAGAAAAAAATCTATCACTGGTCATTTTATTATAAAAATGTACTGTTGGTTTTTGTTTGGGGGTTTACTATTCACTCATAGCTAGGACCCTCTCTGGGTCAGAGTGCACCTGGGAACAACAGCAATGAAGAGGTGGTTTTATACTCCTCAAAACCTCCAATTTCTTGATCAGAGGGGCCCTGAGTAACACTTGTAAATTGAATTGAAATGCACATTTGTGTGTGTGTGTGTGTGTGTGTGTGTGTACATATTTTTAGTTATTTATATTTATATAAATAATAGCAAGAGAAGTTGCAGTTATTAAGTGGTTAGCAGCAGAAGGATAATGGAATCAATAAACCAGCTTCAAAACACCGACAGATAAACTGTACTCACTTTTTAGACTAATACTCTTTAGAAAGGCACAATGAGGAGTAAATGATGCAATTTGACATTGAAAAAAAAAAATGGATTTGAAAGAATACAGTTACAATAATTACGTAAATTAGTACAGGATTTTAAGATAAAATACTTTACCATCTATTAAAAGTATTAAGTTTTCTTTGTTTTAATTAATCTGAAAAACTGCCTTATTTTAACTATATCTAGTCTATATAGCTTAATATACTTCTTTACACTAAATATTATTCAGTTGGTTAGACATTAGCTTCTTTGATAATCAAAGCAGGGGTCCTTCAGGATGACAACCTTTTGCACATATTTTCTTTGTGATCACCATTGACAATGTATTGAGAACTTCCTTCAACAAAGATCATATAAATTTTACTTTATCTCCAAGACCCTCAAAGTAGATATCCTGCAATAAAATTGACAGATATTGACTATGCAGATGCATTATCACTGCAGACACCATTACCAATGCCACAGTTTTCTTACCTATCTAGAAAATGTTGCCAATAATGTTGGATTCTATGTCAATTCCTCTAAAACGGAATTCATAGGCTTCAACAAGAAAGGCACAATACAAACCGTCTCAGATGAATCAATAAAATATGTTGAATCTTTTACATACCTAGGAAGGGAAATAAATTCTACTGAAACGGATGTGAAATTTGTGTAATTTTTTTTTTCATTATCAAATTAAAAAAAAATTTTTTTTAAAGTATATAAAAAAAAACATACCTGATTACTTTATTTGATATACAAGCTTTCATGTTTTTAAATATATGTTTAGCTCTATCACTTTCATCTTTGACAACTTTCTCCAAACTACACTGTACGGCTTCTGCAAAGAAAAACAAAATTCTGATTTTTGTTTTATTGGGGGTGGGGAATCAGCACACAGTAAGTACTATCAAAAGTAATGTCAAAATGTAGAGTAGAATTTTTTAAAAGCATTCATGAAAATAAATAAATCCTCCCTCCAAAAAGATTTTATAAAACTGTTAGGCTTGAAAAATGTTTAAAGATGTTCAGAAAATCCTTAAATGTTTATGAAGTATAAGAGCATGCCACGATGAAAATATGCCCCAAACTTAATAAAAACAAAGTTTTATCATCAGATTCTTTGTTATTATTAAGAGGAAAGAGCAAAGAATTTTTTGAGTATTAAATTATATTTTTATCCTTTTTAGAACTTTCAAAATCTTGGTTAAAATTTTTTCCACATCAACAGTGGGAGAGTAGGCAGAGATTAGTATAGAAAATTTTAGCATGTTTTTTTTATTTTTTCCAGTGAAAAAAAAAAACACACTGATTTGGAAATTCTTTAAAAAAAAAAAAAAAAAAAAAAAAAATCAAATAATTGTTGGATTTTAATGAAACTTTCAGGACTTATTCACAACTGAATTAAATTATTTTGGAAATTTTTTTTTTCTTTGAAAAAAAAAAAAAAAAAAAAAAACTTTGTAAAGCTTTTTTTTTCTTTTAAAAAGATCTTTTATCATCCACTTATTTAATTTTATGAAATTTCTAGAAATTAAATTTGTTTTCCACTTAATGTTTATATTAGTTAAAAGCAGAACTCCTTGGAGAATTTAAACCATCAATTTCTTTTTGTAAAACAGAAACTGAAAAGCTGCTCTGAATCATAAAATAAAAATTGCAATAACTAAGACATTATTTAATTAGAAAGACTTTTAATTAGATATATTATGAAAACTATTGTCTTAAGAAAAAATTTTTTTTTCATGAATAATGAATTTTTGACAATTGATTTTTTTGAAATTTTAATATTTTATAAAATTTTAAATCTTTTAAAATTCTGTGTTTGTCACAGGTAGATGATATTGGTATTAAGTAAAAACTATATTTGAAATTTAGTTACCCTAAATATTTTTAAAAGAATTTTTAATTTTTCTTGTATGTGTATAAACATGCAGATTTCTGTAAATATGGACATCCATACACAATATTATCAGAAAATAAGAGCAATAACTATTGTAAATTTAAAGCCAAAGTACCTAAAATTCAATAAAACATTAGATTACTTAGAATATTTTCTTAAATTTTTAAGGTTACCGAGTAGTTAAAAATAAAAAAAGGCACATGCATTATATTCCTCAAGTAATTTTTACAGATGTATACACCATAAAAAAAAAAAAAAGATAAACTTCTGTTTGTCAGTGAAGCTGTCAACACCTTAAACTTTGTTAAAAAAATGCACTTCTGCAATATTTTAAACTTAAAGTAAGTAATATTTGTTTCAAATCAGATTAATAGAACTAAGTAAATCAGCTGATATTCCTCAAATGAAGTTTCAGAAAAGAATAATTTATTTTTGAAAAATTTTGTAATTCTGATGAAAGGTGGCTAAAAATTTCAGCAAGTTCAAAATGAAAACCCCTTCCAGTCAATTTAAATTAATTATTGAAATACAGCAAAGTATTTTGCTTATTAGAAATATTAAATTTAATCTATTAGCTTGAAATTAAAGCTAAAATAAAAGCTTCAAGAAAGATTTTTCATTTTTAAAATTCATTTCAAACTTTAGGTATCATGTTTCTGTGGAGGTACCTACTTTACATTTATTTATGCTACTATAATAAAGTGCATGCGTATCATGAAAGAATGAATAGGCACACAAATCTTGATTTTTTTTTTGCATAGATATCAATTAAAACCTCTAGTAGTAACATAAGTATTGTGAGACCGGAAACTACCTACACAATAGACTCTTCCAGGCCTATATTAAGTAGGCGACATAGCACTCTAGAGAGAAACACAGAGTGACATAGAGAGACATTGAGACACAGAGAGACAGTAAGAGCCATGTACGACTACCCGCATTGGACACTAACATATAGTAAGCTCCGCTTACACTATCTCTGTAACCTGTTGTTAATATATCTTTCTTACATCTAATCCGTGTTCTGTGTTTTACTTCTGTGGTCCCAACTTTGGCCCTACATCAATAAGTTATGTGAAATTAAGGGTCAATATAAGCCAGAGAGCAGCATGCCATTTCTAGTAAAATGGTGCAAGATAAAGTTTTGATTTCACAAATTGTAATGTAGATAAAAGGTAGATTTAGCTTCTGTACTGTAGACAATGCCCTTGGAAAAGGCATGAACTCATCTCTTCTTCCCTGTCCAGCTATAGATTAAAGAATAGAGTAAACTGGTCTCTCAATTCACAGATGAAAATAAAAGGAATTTAGGAGACACACAATTGGCAGCTAAACAATTATATTCTTAGAGGTGGAGGTAAATTAAAAAAAAACAAAAACATAGGATTGTTGATGCTGATCTTCAAAGGTCACAGGTCAATTTTGAACAAAAATAGACATTTTTTTTTCCAGTTAAGAGAAAAACTTTATTTTCCTATTTTGTTTGTAAAATGTTGTGCAACCCTGAAAAATGTTTTCAAATTAATTTTGGGCATTTTAGAAATTAATTACAATTTAACATTACTTTTTGAGAGTTTTTTTTTTTTTTTTTAAAATGAAATGTTAAAAAAACAAAACAAAAAAAACTAACAGTGGTTATGTGAGCTTTTTTACAACCTTTTCTTTGCTGGCACCTAGGGAGAAAAGATGCACTAAAATTCCTGTCAAGCTAAAGAGAACAAGAAAAAATTGGTGAATTAAAATATTTTCATACTAAAGCCACCTTTTCATGTGTAAATAAATTTTTTCATTTGTTATCCAAAACACATGGTGAAAAACACTGTTCCAGTGTTATTTTTAAGGCTATACCTTCCCACCAGTCAAAGCTAAGTATCCCAGCTAGTTTTTCAACACAACTGTACAAAACCATTTACTTACAATTTTTTTAAAAATTGATTTTTTACACACACACACAGAGAGAGAGAGAGAGAGACAAAAAACAAAAAAACATGTGGAAACAGTCTTGATGGGAGTGGCAGACATAACGTACAATGAAATTAAAAAAAAAATAAATGCATAAAGACATACATTGCATGATACTGAGGACATTGTCCAGAGGAACTTGATCAGTCAACAACAATTATCATAGTATGGAAACAAACTGATCTATAAACAAAAGACAGTCAAGGAAGATTTTTCAGTGAATAACACCTGAAGATAACTTGAAATTGAACTGGGGGAAAAGAGGTTTAAGAAAAAAAATTTCTTTTACTATGTTAATGGTTTGTATCCCCTTATGTATCTCTAGTGTGTAAACCATTTTGTAATCTGTTTGCAAGAACTTATTCCCTAGAAAATATTAAAATAAGACGAACTTTATTTTAAAAATAATTCTATAAAGATAGAATGACTATGTATTTTAAGGTTAGATTATAATTGCTGATATCAGTATTCAGCAATGGGCAACTAGGCAAAGCACTGCAAAAAATGTAGGCGTTAAATGGAATGTCTTTCATAGAAATATGATTAAAAGTGCAACACACCAATCATTTTATTTTTATTACATATACTTTAATGGATAATTTATTAAAATAATTTCTGTTCTTGTTTATCCACTTTTTTTTTTTATAATAATAAAAATAATAACACCACCCTAAACTCGGTTACAATTTTATGGGACTACACAATACACACAGACAGAACAATAAAAGCTAATCACCCAGACATCGTTATTAGAGGCTGCAAACAAAAAAATTGCCTCCTTATTGATACGGCAGTCCCTGCAGACTGCAATGTATCTTTGAAGATATTCAAAAAACTATCAAAATACAAGGACCTTGAAATCAAAATCTCAAAAATGTGGCACATGGGAACATCAACAATCCCTGTTGGAGCCCTTGGATTGGTTGGAAAAGATTCCAGTAGACTCATTGAAGGGATTTCTGGAAGCTCATGTCTTAAAGAAATACAAAAAATTATTCCCATGAGTACAGTCCACACCTTATGAAGGGCTTTATCTATGTTTTTTCTTTTTTTAAATTGTTCAGTGGAAAATGCCATGATGCCATTTCTGACCATAGGTCTCTGGGTGGGACCCGGAAAGAAACAAGCATACACCAGAAATCAAAGGAGATAAAATAAAAATAATAATCTCAAAAAATGTGGCATATGAGGACACCAACAATTCCAGTTGTAGTTGGAGCCCTTGGATTGATTGGTAAAGATTCCAATAGACTCATTGAAGAGGTTCCTGGAACCCCATGCCTTAAAGAAATACAAAAAATTGTTCTCACAAATACAGCCCACACCCTATGAAAGGCTTTATCTATGTAAAATATGGGTGCTGGTACTATTGTTTTTTATTTTTTTAAAATTGCTCAGTGGAAAATGTCATGATGCCATTTCTGACCTTAGGTCTCTGGGTGGAACCCAGAAAGAAATGTGTACACCCCAGAAATCAAAGGAAATAAAATAATAATAATAATAATTTTGCCTTTTGTTTATCAACTTTCATAATTTTCCATTTTGCTTATCAACTTTTTCAATAATAATTTCAGTTTATCAACTTTATTCTTCAAAATATTACAACTGATTCCCAAAAACAAATTACTTATGGCTCAACCTAATACTGAAAACACTAAATGATTTTTTTTCTTTTTGCAACTAAAACACACATTGCTCCAGTTTTTTAAGGTCAGACATTAGGGATGTGTATTATACATGATAATTAAATATTAACTTTTTTTTCTGGCTACATGTGTCATCATATTTAAGATGGCATGATCAAAAGTTAAGTTATATGTATGGTCCAAACTAATGCGCTATAAAAAGTTTAAAATCAGTAACCAAACACTGCATTTGTTAAAAATATAAATAAACTAAAACTAAAAAAAATTACGTAGATATTAAGTACATTTATTCTTCAGGCAGCATCAAAAATAGACATCAAGACATTTTCA